AGTTCCACTCTGTCCTCTAGGGGCGCTGTGGGTCAGAATGGACTCCAGGCAGTGGGTGTGGTTTGGGCTTTGCTTCCCTGAAGACTGACAGCCTTGAGACCCTGTGGGGCAGTTCCACTCTGTCCTCTAGGGGCGCTGTGGGTCAAAATGGACTCCACGGCAGTGGGTGTGGCTTGGGCTTCGCTTCCATGAAGACTGACAGCCTTGGAGACCCTGTGTGCACTTCCACTCTGTCCTCTAGGGGCGCTGGGAGTTGGAATCCACACCAAGGCAGCGGATGGGTTAACATGAGGATGCTTTCCTCTACAGCACTGCTTTCACCCCTGCCAGGAGCAAAAGGCATACCAGCACCTGGCCTAATGTTTACTGTGGGTTCCACTCAGGGGTCCCACTTCCCACCTTGCCAGGCTCCAATCCCAGCCCACACTGCTGCAGCTGCCTGCTGGCTCCCTCTCCTGAACTCAGGAGGCCATTGTGTGTGTGTGTGTGTGTGTGTGTGTGTGTGATCAAACTCCTCCTCCGGCTCCAGGGCTCTCCGGACACAGCCCCGCCTAGCTCGCTAGCAGAGCCTCACTGCGCCTCCTTTGCAAAGTGGGGACATAACCACCTACTGTTGCTAGGCCACTGTGGGCACCGCACGAAATCACTGAAGGCCTCATGCCGTAGTCAGAGCTTGAGGCTGCCCACCGAGCACCGTCTGGCCAGGGCCCCGTGTCTAGCGTTGCCAGCCAGCAGCTCATCCCACCTCAGCCCTACGGAGAGGCCGCAGGTAAAACCGCACGCCACAGACACTTTATTATCCAAAATCACATGAAAACCCAGGCCCCGCAGGGCTCTGCTGCGAGGCGGCAGAAGGATGGAGGTGGAGGGGCCCTCACTGCTGGTGCCCGGGCTCTGCCCGAGGTGCCCGGTCGTGAGACTCAGACGCAGAAGGAAGACTTGGTTCACGGCCATCCCTGAGACGGAGAGCTGCTTCCAGGCCAGCATGTGTAGGCGGCAGGCGGCAGGCGGCAGGCGGCGGTCCAAGCTGGCCGCCTGCTCCCCTCCCTCCCAATGGCAGCCCCTCAGAAAGAACATGAATGGAAGGGCAGGGTGGCCCGTAAGCCACTTCTTCCCTTCTTGACGGCCGGAGTGGGCAGCTCCCTGACGGGGAGAGGCCCCATGAAGGCGCACAGATTCCTCTAGAAACCACCTGAGCTGAGGCCATCGTCCCGGCCAGCCCAGCTCTGCCTCAGGCAAGAACCCAGAGGGCAGCAGGGCCAGCTCCAGCTGGTGGCTCTAGGACGGAACGCTGCATCCTCCCGGGTCTCAGCCGGGGCCCATCCCAGGCTGGGGCCTTGCGGGCTCCTGGCCTCCTATCTCCGGGGCTGTAGATGGTTGTGCAGCTGCTCAGCCTGGCTCTTCAGACGCTGGAACTCATCCTGAATGAAGTCGGTCAGGGCTTTGCGCATCTCTACCTGCGGGAGAAGGCAGAGGCGGCGAGGTGAGCAGCGCCCGGCACCCCATGAGGTGGCTGTGCCCAAGCAGCCCCAGCCCCCGTCGGAAGCCGGCAGGGCACTCACGGCAGACTTGTCCTCTGCCCGCAGCCGCTCCAGCACGGGCAGGGCGCTGAAGGGCTTCCCAACAAGTACAGTGATCTTCTGGACGGAAGGCGGACACAGCCAGCGGGCTGAGCAGCCCAGCGTGTGCAGGGCGCAGCAGGCGGGGCCTCCTGGGCCATGCACTCCCACCCCCGACAGCTCGGCGCCAGGGGCCTGGGGTCCAGCCGTCCTGTCCCCCACCCGCCAGCCTGTGCCGAGCCTCGGGCAACTCTGTTCCCTTCTGCTGCGGCTTGATGCTCCGCCCCGCCCTCAGTGTGGGAGAGCTGGGGAGGTGGCAGACACACGGATGGATGGGCAGGAGCCAGCAGGCCCACTCACCTGGCCGAAACGAGGGAAGTAGGGTGATCTGTTGGGAAGGACGTCATTCATCCCTGTAGCAGGAGTGAAAGGCGGAGGCGCCTTGCGGTGGGGCGGGACCGAGCCCCAGGGCCTCCCTGGGCCCTTCCCGACACAACAGCAGGGAGCACCTCTCCCTGTCCCCAGTCGCACCCCAGTTTCCAGCCCCGAGAGGGAGGCATACCAATGTGCCACAGTGGAAGAATGATGGGGTTGAGATGGCATTCAGCAATCAGGCGCCCGATTCCTGTCCCAAGATGGACGGAAGTGTTGGAGGGAGCTGAGCTGAGCTCCAGGCCAGCCCTGCCCTCCACTGTTGGAACCAGGCCCTCTGCAAGCGGGCTCTGGTCTCAGCACCCGGCCCCTTTCTGCTGCCACTAACACAGCCATCCACAGCCCAAACCAGCCCAGCCCCGAGGCGGCGCCCAGGAAGGGGCCACAGGGCAACCCTTACCCCACTTGAAGCGCAGGAACTCAGAGCTCAGGTTCACTTTTCCTGTCAGGAGAGAGGGCAGAGAGGCTGGGGCCGCAGCTCGCCCCGTAGGGAGGGGCCGCCAGCCCACACTGACCTTCCGGGAAGATGTGCACCCAGTCCCCCTGGTTGAGTTTCTCCAGAACGAAGTCCATCCCCTTCTGGTAGACACCGTCTCCTGCCAGGAAGGCCTTGCCCGTCAGCGCTCACTCTCCCGGGGGCTGACACGGGCCCTTCTCCCTAGGGTTCCTGGCATTGCGGATGACCCCCTTGCCTGTACCCCGGCTCCCTGGATCTGTCAGCCCCCCCCCCAAAACTGAGAATGGAGCTCCAGCTCCCATGTCTCCCGGTTCCCAGGCCACGCTCACTGATTCCACCTCAGCCCCTGGGGCCCTTGGCACCCTGTTTAGCACACTAGATGCCGGTTCCAGACAGGGCTGCCGGCATTCTTTCTGGACGTGGGGAGCCCGCCCTCTCCCGACGATCCTGCCCTTTCTAGCCGTGGCCCTGCTCCTCGGCACAGACCCCCGCGGCCACCCCAGCCATGTCACTGCAGGGCCCACGGTCAGCGACCATTCAGCCATTCTGCCTCAGATGCACCAACCCCTCCAATCATTGGCATTGGGCCCACCCCACCATATGCTGCTCTGGCCTGGAGGAGGCTGCTGGAGCTATCTGAGTGGCCTCATGGGGCCTGGCCACGCCTGGGGCCTAGGCCTGGGGCAGCAGCCTCTCCTGTGGTCTTGGTCTTTTCTAGCAGTAACTTCTCACAAATCTGTCCTCCCCACCCCAACACCAGCTCCTCCTCAAGAGAACACCAGGAAGCCACTCCCTGAGAAACTAAACCCTCCCTTAGGTAGGACTCTTGGGAAACGGAGAACATGTCATCAAACAAGACAGTTTAGTTGAAAGCTTGGGAAAAACTCAAAACTACGGACTGAAAACGATGGCTGTGATCTGACCCCAGGCTAGCAGCACTGCCCTCAAGGGGAGTTGCTTGGAGACAACCACAAAAGACTGCTTGCTGTCTGTGACCCTTCACATTAAGAAGCTCACCCTGGTCAGCCTTCAGGTGTGGACCTGAACTCCCTCCCCTGGCTTCCAGCCAGACAAGCAGGTACCCTCCCAAGAAGGATCAAACATGGGAGAAGAGCGAAGGGCAGGGCTTGCACAGGGAGACAGCTGGGGGGGGCAGGTAGGAGCGCAGGCGAGGGAAGGGCACACGGAAGAGGTAACTATCGCGAGGAAGTGGGAAGCTGGCTGTTACACTGTGGGGATTGCAGTGAACGTCATGAAACAAAATGTGTATGACCTGCTGTGTGGAAAATGCATGTTCTGTAAACTTTCACCCAAATCACAATACATCAAAAAAAAAAAGGAATAAACAAACAACTTTCAAGACGTTGGGGGAAAAAAACAAACTTCATCAACCTTCCTTGATGACGTAAAAGTTACAGTACAGTCGACAGACCAGACCGAGGAAGGGGGACGAAAGGCTGTGTCACTGGGGAAATGGCTCCCTGGGGCCGCCAGCGTCTTCCTGGCCCCTGTGGGATCTGAGGTGCTGTCGCAGGCCCCCACTCCTCTCTCCCTGTGCAACTTCACCTCTACGGCCCTGGCCCCACTTGTGCGGGGTCTCCAGTAGCATGCACTCTCCGTTCCCGGCCAATTGTTTGAGTCTCAGAACTGCACATCCCACTGGCTCCTGGGGCGCAGCCTGGCGGACACAGGACTCCTCTTGTCCCGTTCTCCAGTCACAACCAGTGGTACCCACCACCCTCCTTCAATGGATCCGGCCAAAAACCTAGTGTCATCTTTGAATTCTCTCTCTCGTCCTCCACATCCAGTCCACCTCCAGGTCCTCTGACTCTGTTGCCAAAGCGCGTGCCCTTCTCCTGGGCACCACAGGGCTGCCCAAGGCCAGGCCCGGTCATCTCCGCTGCCAGAATTCCCTGGCCTCCTGGCCCGACTGCGGCCAGGGCACTCGTTCCCCGAGCCACACCCACAGACGTGGCACTACCGTGATAGAAGAGCAAAAGCCAGAATCTTCACCTGCGTTTTTCACTTTCACTGTCTACCTAGCACATGCGTGTCTGTATCTCCGACACCTCTGCCTCCATCCTCTGCCTAAAAACAGTTCTACTTGCCCAGAGGAAAGACAAACCTGGACTCTAATCCCAACTGCCAGCTCTTGCCTGTGACCTTATCCCTTGGGGCCCCTATTTTCTTGTCTGTAGGCTAGGAGTCTGCTGGTGCAGGGCTTAAAGCATCTGACTGCTAACCAAGAGGTTGGTGGTTTGAACCCACCAGCCCCTCCATGGGAGAAAGATGAGGCAGTTGTCTTCCATAAAGACAGACAGCCTTGGAAACCCCATGGGGCAGTTCCACTCTGTCCTCTAGGGGCGCTGTGAGTTACAACCAACTCCACAGCAGAGAGTTTGGTTTGGGCTTTGCTACTGTGGGAGCTCTGGTAGCGTAGTGGCTAAGGCACTTGACTGCTAACCAGCAGGCTGGCGGTTCAAACCCACCAGCCACTCC